GGGGAGGGAGGCAGAAGCCCCCCCCCTCCCCGGTCCACTCCGCCCCGCTGTCGCTCTGGGGCAGCTTCCCTTCTGCTTCCCCGGGGGGCGGGGAGAGGGGGGGCAGCTGGAAGGGCCGGCTCTTGTGTCTCTCGCATTTGTGAGGTCACACTTCCCCCCCCTGCCACTGTTGCCTCACCTGGCAGGGGCTCCTGTGCCTCCCGAGGTGCTCAGGGGGCCAGAGAGCCCTGGGCATCAGGCAGAGGCTGTGGGCATTCTTGGGGGTCTTCGCTGAGGAGGGTCACTTGCTCCCATTTAGGTCCAGCCAGACGGAGCCACCTTGACGTATAATGAATACAGCTGGAATAAGGTGAGGCCCCCCCCAGCCCTGAAAGCTTGGCTGGAGCACCTCCTGCCCCTCCCAACCCAGAAGGCATGAGAGGCAGTGGCAGGATCACACACACACACACACCGTGGAGCCTCACCCCCCCCCCCCTTGTCTCCCTCCAGCTCGCTCACATCCTGTACCTGGAGTCCCCGGTTGGCGTCGGCTACTCCTACTCGGACACCCAAGAGTATGGGACAAACGACACAGAGGTGGGTGCCGGCCCTTGCCCGCAGCTCTGCCCTCCTTGCCCCGTCTGCCTCTGGGCCTGGCACGTGCCTCTCTCTCCGCCTGCAGGTGGCCCGCGTCAACTACCTGGCCTTGAAGGAGTTCTTCCGCCTCTTTCCGGAGCACCTGCCCAAAGACCTTTACCTGTCCGGGGAAAGCTATGGCGGGGTCTACATCCCCACCTTGGCGCAGTGGGTCATGCAGGACGCCAGCCTCAAGCTGAAGGTGGGTGTGCCAGGCCCCTGAGGCCCCGGAGCAGTCTCCCCTGGAGCCTGGCATTAAGTGGGCGTGGAGGGAATTGGGTGGTGGCCGCAGGGCTGCCCGGCGGCATTGCCCCCCAGCACTGGGCAGCTCTGCAGACTGGCAAGACCAGAATTCTGCCAGCAGCAGGAGCGGCAGTCGCTGCTTCTTCCTGGGCCTCCCTTGAGCTGCTCTTTTGGAGAAGCAAAACCAGGGCGTGGTGCAAGTTTCCTCAGCCGGTGCGCCTGCGCACGCACACACACACACACGTTTCCCTGCCCTGGGGAGTGCCTGGCTGCCAACAGCCAGTCAGCTCCTCTTGGGCATGTGGGTGGGGGAGGGAAGGGAATGGTGGTGAGGGGCTGCTGGGCGTCACTGGGCGTGCGTTTCAGGGCCTCTCGGTGGGCAACGGGCTCTCCTGCTACGAGACCAACGACAACTCCCTGGTTTACTTCGCCTACTATCACGGCCTGCTGGGCAAAAGGTGAGCCTCTGCCCGGGGCCCGGAGGAGGAGGGGCGGGGTGGGCGCTGCGGCCCCCAAGGCGGCTGAGGGACCCTCTGCTTCTCCCCCCCCCCGCAGGCTCTGGGACGACCTGCAGCGCTACTGCTGCTCCAAGGAGAAGTGCGACTTCCACAAAAGCACAAATGTGAACTGCACGTCTGCGGTGAGTGGGGAGGACTGCCGGGGCTGGGCCTGGGGGGGTGTGTGTGGCAGGGGGAAGAGGTCAACCCGCTCTCTTGTTCCCCACAGATGGTCGAGGTGATCCAGATTGTGGACGAATCGGGCCTCAACATCTACAACCTCTATGCCCCCTGCGCTGGGGGGGTGCCAGGAAAGTACAGGTGAGGACCTGGCGGTTTGCAGGCTGCCCTACTTTCCTCTGCCCCCCCCCCCGGGTTCCTTGGCTCCTGGGAGTGACGGGCAGGTCTCCCCCCCCCTGGGTGGAGGATGCGGGGGTCCTGGGCAGGCAGCTCAGCCATTGCCCACCTTGCAGTTACCTGGAGGAGACCATCGTCACTCACGACCTGGGCAACAGGTTCATCAGGCACCCGGCACGAAGCCTCTGGAGGCAGGTGAGGAGAAGCCGCTTGGGGGGCGATTGCCAGGGGGGGAGGGGGAGGCTGGGCATGACCCCTGCTGAGGAGGAAGGGTTGGGGGTCCCAAAGGTGCCGCAGGAGAACCTTCACTGGTGGGGGTGGAACACCCAAGAGGGTGAGACAAGACCCAGGCCCTCTGCAATGGCCTAGAGAGCAGAGCGAAGGCTCTTCTGCGCTTCTCTGCCCTGCCCGGGATTTAAGCCAGTTCCCCAAAACACAGGAGGGGGAGGGGGGAGGAGGAGGAGGAGGAGGAGGAGGAGGAGGAGGAGGGGAAGCGAAGGCTCCTTGGGCATCTCAGAAGCCTTTTGCTCTCCAGAGGCTGTGGCTTCCTTCCTTCATGCAGCTTTCCTCTGCCCTTTGGAGGGCCTGAAAGCAGCTGACCAAACAGGGAGGGAGGGAGGGAGGAAAGGAAGGAAGGAAGGAAGGAAGGAAGGAAGGAAGAGGTAGGGAAGGAAGGAAGGAAGGAAGGAAGGAAGGAAGGAAGGAAGGAAGGAAGGAAGGAAG